ATACTTTGGGTCGTTAGGATGGTAGCCACACCCCAAAAACGTCCAAATGCAAAAATTTCAGCGGGCTGTGAAGCATCATAAAAGGAGGAGGGGCTATCGTGGCCGGCGTAAAAACCACTGGAGAACAAAGAGGGATGCTGGAGAGGATCCTTCTCCCCCAGTAAGAGGTGAGTACCATGGGGGACATCTCTGCTTACTGCAGAAGACACCCTGAGAACTGGGAAGGATGTAAGAAGTCCACATTCTTAGCATTAGCCGAGGATTTGAATGTCTGCCAAATACGATGATAGCATGTCGAAGTCAATTGTTGTCTTGACTTCAGAAGAGTATTTATCCTCTGATAAACCTAAATGCAGGAGTATTTGCCTTTCAAGAGACATACCCCCAAGCTCAGTTGTTCGGGATTTGGATGAACTACAGGTCCCTGACTCAAAAGGTCACTCCAATGTAACCGCCAATGTGCTTTCAAACTAATTTTGTTCAGGAGAAGAAACCATTGTCTCCTTGGCCACACTGGAAGAATAGCAATCACTTTAACCCCTTAAAGACACATGACATGTGTGACATGTCATAATTCCTTTTTATTCCAGAAGTTTGGTCCTTAAGGGGTTAATAGTTTTATAAGTGATATTGCAGAAGGTCTTGATGGTAAGGTATGACTTTTTGATGATGATACTAAGATATGTAACAGGGTTGATGTTCCAGGAGGGATAAGCCAAATGGCAAATGATTTAGGTAAACTAGAAAAATGGTCATAGTTGTGGCAACTGACATGTAATGTGGATAAGTGCAAAATAATGCATCTTGGACGTAAAAACCCAAGGGCAGAGTACAGAATATGAGGAAAGGGATTTAGGGGTGATTATTTCTGATGACTTAAAGGTAGGCAGGCAATGTAATAGAGCAGCAGGAAATGCTAGCAGAATGTTTGGCTGTATAGTGAGAGGTATTGGCAGTAGAAAGAGGGAAGTGCTCATGCCATTGTACAGAACACTGGTGAGACCTCACTTGGAGTATTGTACGCAGTACTGGAGACCGTATCTTCAGAAGGATATTGATACTTTAGAGAGAGTTCAGAGAAGGGCTACTAAACTGGTTCATGGATTGCAGGATAAAACTTACCAGGAAAGGTTAAAAGATCTTAACATGCATTGCTTGGAAGAAAGATGAGACAGGGGGGATATGATAGAAACATTTAAATACATAAAGGGAATCAACACAGCAAAGGAGGAGACTATACTTAAAATAAGAAAAACTACCACAACAAGAGGACATAGTCTTAAATTAGAGGGACAAAGGTTTAAAAATAATATCAGGAAGTATTACTTTACTGAGAGGGTCGTGGATGCATGGAATAGCCTTACAGCTGAAGTGGTAGAGGTTAACACAGTAAAAGAGTTTAAGCATGCGTGGGATAGGCATAAGGCTAGCCTAACTATAAGATAAGGCCAAGGACTAATGAAAGTATTTAGAAAATTGGGCAGACTAGATGGGCCGAATGGTTCTTATCTGCCGTCACATTCTATGTTTCTATGTTTCTACATCTCCAAAATCTGGAGTGCTGACGGTTGCCTGTACCTGCTCTAAATCGTCAGAGTATGGACTAGTCACCATAATCAATTTAAGGAGGATTTGAATATAAGTATACATTATTATTATTTTCTTCCTTTCTATTATACATTAAAAGCTATTTTTTTATTTATAATTATTTTCATTTTCTCAATATTTACTGTTGTCTCGGAAGACATCTTTGCACCTTTGGGTAATCACTGAGATAGATTAGGTCCTCTTTACATTTGTGTGCGGGATTTTTTGCACTTTCGCTAACTTTTGGCTGCACATAGTTTGTACTGCCTCCCTTGGTAAACTCATTAGCTCCTTTGGCTTCCAATGTCACTTCTATGCAGATGACACGCAAATCTACCTGTTCTCTCCCCGTCCCTCTTGACTAGTGTCTCTGACTGCCTCTCTGCTGTTTCTAATTGGATGGCTGCCCACTTCCTTAAACTAAACTTGACCAAAACTGAAATTCTGGTCTTTCCTCCCTCAAGTGTTGTTACTCCTGTGTCTGTCTCCCTCCAAGTTAACGGTGCTACCATCAGCTCCACCACGCAGGCTCGCTGCCTAGGTGTTCTCTTTGACTTCGACCTCTCCTTCAAGCTTCATGTTCAATCTATCGCCAAATCCTGTAATTTCCATCTCAAAAACATTGCGCGCATCCGCCCCTACTTAACGCCAGATGCGCCTAAGGTGTTGGTCCATTCCACTATCCTTTCTCAACTTGACTACTATAATCCGCTTCTCAGTGGTCTTACGTGCTCCCAGCTTGCGCCGTTACAGTCCATAATGAATGCGGCGGCGAGGCTCATCTTCCTGTCCGCCCGCACCTCCCATGCCTCACCCTTCTGTTAGTCCCTACATTGGCTTCCTATAAAATAGAGAGCTCAATTTAAAATTCTGGTTCTTGCTTTCAAATCGCTACATAATGCTGCTCCCACCTATCTATCCTCCCTTATACACAAGTATGTCCCGTCTAGGCCCTTACGATCTGCTGAAGACTTACGTCTATCTTCTGTCCGTACTCCCACCACCTCCCAGATTTCTCGAGGGCTGCACCGTTCCTGTGGAACTCGCTTCCCTCCTCCGTTAGATGCTCACCCAGTCTCCATTCCTTCAAAAAATCGTTAAAAACCCACTCCTTCATAAAAGCGTATCAATTAAACTGTTAATAGCTCCTGACTGATTCCTCTTCTGCAACTGTCACTTGTCTAATACTATCCTTACCTTTTTGTGTCATTTTACCCCACTCCCTCTAGCATGTAAGCTCATTGAGCAGGGCCCTAAACCCCGCTGTGTGTCCAACTTGTCTGGTTACAACTACATGTCTATTCGTCCACCCATTGTAAAGCGCCGCGGAATCTGATGGCGCTATATAAATATCATAATAATAATGAGTTCATGTTACAATTTTTTTTTTCTTTGAACAATTGGCTTTCATTCATAAAATAAATTGGTCTAGAGGAAAAGTCTGTTCTTGGGTAAAACATTGGCTTAAATAAGGATTCAGCCAATCACAGCTGTCTGTTGTTGCTCAGGCAAATGTTTCCACATTAGATCAAGCAGAACAGAGATAATGGACTGCTGGGGACTCTTGTTTAGGACTAAAACGGGTTGAAAGATGAATTGAAGGACAGCTGAAGGGGACTCCGCACCACATTAATGAGATGAAGCAGTTACAGTACCTGAAGTGCCCCTTTAACTAGGAGCTTCATAAATATGCCTTAAAGAGGACAGAGAGGAAAAACTAATTACAAAAAGTGTCCCCCCCCTTTTTATTGCACAAAAACTGCTGACCACTTTTTGTATTCATGAGACCTCGCCAAGCTCATTTGCCATATGCACAACAGCTATGAGAAATGTTTAAAGGCTACAAGAACGTGTTCACTGGCAACATCTGCGTGAAGAACTGATCTCAGACATTTCCACTCTACAAGCGGCCTTGCTAATATTGCCAAAAAAATTGATAACACCAGCACTCTTCAGGTTCTTTTTATAACTAAAGTGGTAAAAAATAAATAAAAAAATGTCAAGATGCCAAGTTTATGGGTCTTTTTAATGATCCACATTCCCCCCCATGGCCCACCAAATATTCCCAGTAGTCTGGGCTTCCTATTTTGCCTTATTCTTCTCTCCCCTAGTTTGTTATAGGTCAACACACTGAACTCCTCCCTTCCACTGTGCATGGTAGTGTCTTTTTTTTTTTTCTTCCATTACCGATTTTGCTCAATCCCGTACTTCCCTCCCCCCCATCACTAGTTTATAGTTCGAATAACAGTCTCGAGTTGTATTATCGTCGATATGTTTTTGGTGAGACTGTATGCAATTACATACTCTCCCATGGGTTGCCGAGTTATTTTCTATAGTTATAATCAGCCTTGTCTTAGAATTTCAAGCAGCAGGGAACAAAGTACATTATAAAAACAAAACAGGTAATTCATGGTGGCAAATGCAAACTATTTAAATTACATTTACCTGGACACTAAGTAGTATTTGTTAAAGGACCACTATAGTGCCAAGAAAACACTTGTTTTCCTGGCACTATAGTGCCCTCACCCCTGGGCTCTGGGGAGAGGAAGGGGTTAAACTCACCTCTTTTTCCAGCACCGGGCGGGGAGCTCTCCTCCTCCCTCTTCGGCTGAATGCGCATGCGCGGCAGGAGCTGCACGCGCATTCAGCCAGTCCATAGGAAAACACTCATAATGCTTTCCTATGGACGCTGGCGTCTTCTCACTGTGATTAATCCACTGGAGGCTGGATTAACCCGAATATAAACATAGCAGTTAAAAAAAAGGGTTAACCCTAGCTTGACCTGGCACCCAGACCACTTCATTAAGCTGAAGTAGTCTGGGTGCCTATAGTAGTGCTTTAACACTGTTGACAATAATTTATTGACAGGAGCTGCCGGGGTCTATTTCCTTTGCGGCACAGCTTCATTTATTAGCAGTGATATTTATTAAGCATGTAGAATAGGTCTTGGAGAGTTCATTTTAATAGGCTTGAGTTCTCTAATCCTGCAACAGATTAGAAAACGGTCATATTATTCCAGACACTGATGTTGAAGAAACCGTCATCTATTATTATGTCAGGGCTTGACAGATTTGCTTTGAATCTAGGAATTCTAGCTAAAAATGTTAGGAGCCAGTTTTGGGAGAGCTGGAGTGGACCTTGGGGTCCAGGGGGGATGCTGTTACTTCATCCTCAACTTTATCAGCTCCCTGCTGTAATGCCTGGAGATGGGAAATTCCATTACTGAAAGGCATGCGAGGGAGCAGATAAAGAAGCTAAAGCGCCCTTGCTGCCGCCTCCATTAGTGCTGAACTTGCTGGCAAACCACCAGGCGCTAGGACTAAATTCCTAGTCGACATGATGACCTAGTGCCTGGGATTTGTCTAGCACTGCATTATATCATGCAAGGAGTAAAAGGAGAGATGGACCACAGGAACTGGGTGAAATTCTTTATGGATTTATTGTACAGAACGATTAACAAGCAAGAGACAACAAGCAGATCAACATCGAATTCCCATCCCAATGGCCATGAACGTTCCAAAGGTGCCACCACTTTGCATCATTGTTTTGCCGACGCCACCCATGAGCTCACGTCCTCTCATTCCAATTCTGAAAAATAGGTGTATTGCTTATTTGTACATATATAGAGAATTGAGCATTAAGACTGCTTTGGGGGCAAACTAAAGAAAAATCCACTGTGTGTAAAGCTACTTATACATTAGCGTAGCAGTTTGTATACAGCTATTAAACTGTATTATAATTCCTACAAGTGCACTAAAATTAACAGAAATAGTGATCCAACATTAAGTGTTTAAGTCTTTTCCATTTAGAACTAAAAACATAAAAAAATTACACCATGGTGAATTTACAAAAGCAGGACAACCATAAATTTAGTATAAAGGTTATTAAATACATGATCCTAGAAGAATTTACTGGCTACACAAAATTAAAAAAATCTCTAAAGGTAAAGAAATAAAAACAGAAAATTAGTGGGGGGGTTTTAAGATGCATTTAGAAGAGAGAGAAAGGGATAGATAATCATATTTCTTTTAATGTTGGTTGTTTTAAAGAAGTTTCAACATCTCTCAAGGCTGCATGGTGTAATACTGGATGTTGCCCTAAATCTGTTTGTGCCAAACTGAAGAGAAGCCAGCCTGATTTTTTGCTTACCTTAGGCACGAAAATGTTCCGAATAGAGCTCCAGCTGCCATACCCACTGCAAATCCCATCATGAAGCCCATTTTCACTCTGTCAAAGCAGTTGGGCTGTGACTGCCCATGGGGTCCAACTGCCACTGGCATCTGCAATGGACATTAGTTAAATTATTTCTAGCTCGGATAATTTTTAAACAAATGTTTATTAATGATTACAAACATTAAGGACAATGTTCGAGCCAAGGTGAAAAGTATAAAAAACAAAAACAAAGATTTCCCAGGATATTTGTGATATCTAATTGCTTTACTGAACTATGGATAAATTTTGGTTTTAAATCTGTATTACAAGAGAAATACTTTATCACAGATCTGGGATCTTTACTGTTATCTGCCCCCCTCTATTTTTGATATTTTGAACCTAACCTTAATAGATTTTAAAACTGTTTAGAAAGAAATATAAAGTCTAATAAATATCTAGTATAAAATTATGTAGCTGTTTTGGGAATTTGGACCTAACCTATCCTAACCTGAATACATTTTGAAATGGTTTCAGAAATACAGATCATAAGTTATGTAGCAAAGCTACTTTGGGGTCAATACACTACGATCTCTTCAAGAATCGTTTGAAATGCAAATTCCAAAAATCCATTGCTCTGGCAATATACGGCCAAAGTATTTTTTTTCTTTTACAAAATAAGCTTTTGTCTATTTCTAAGGTCAATCTTGGTTCCTCTATCAACAAAAGAATCCTTAGCAAGGTATTTCTTCTGGGCATCCTCTTTTATAACATCTCCATCTCCTCCTTCCGAACGATGCTCTTGACCTGAAGAGCAATTTCTTTGCGCATGTAAAGCTTCTTTGTCTTGCAGGAAAAGTATGGCCTCGGTCTTCAAACGTCGATAAATCAAGGAAATGTATTACTGAAATGGGTTATAGGAACACCACCGAACAGAACCAACTAACCATTTTAATGATTCAAGAGCAACTCATGGACTTTCACCGTTGCAGAACATTCAATTGAGTTAACGGTTAAACGTTAAAATTCCGAGAGAGTGAAAGGCAGATAACAGCAAAGATCCCAGATCTGTATTAAAGTATGCTTGTCGTACATTTAAAAGGGACATTACAGCAAACACCTAAAGTGCAAGATTGCATCGTGCAAAGAAATCTGCACAATCCATGTTTTTTTGTGCACCAACACAATAATACGAGTGCCATTTAAAATATTCATAGCTTGGTTCCACCCTACACTCCCTCACTAGTGATGTCCCGAACGGTTCGCCACAGACGGCGAACATATGACCCTGTACCTCACAGTCAGCAGACACATTCCAGCCAGTCAGCAGCAGACCCTCCCACCTCCTGGACAGCTCACTAAGAATGCAGCTTCAAAATGGATGCTGTCCAGGAGGTGGGAGGGTCTGCTGCTGATTGGCTGGAATGTGTCTGCTGACTGTGAGGTACAGGGTCATATGTTCACCATCCGTGGTGAACTGTTCGGCGAACCGTTCGGTATATCACTATCCCTCACTCCCAGAGCAATAAATTAGTTTAGCACAAAATCAATGAGAGAACCAGCAACATAATTTCAACGTAAAAGAGAACAACACAATTGCCATATGTTTGTGTTTAATTTGTTTTAAAGGCCATTTATAATGTAGTCTCTACAATGTCTCAAAAAGGGGCAATGCTTATTTTGAGTTTAATTCCCTTAATGTAGTGGTTCTGGTGTCCCTGCCGCATTTTAAATGTAAATGCTGCCTTTTAAGTGAAAAGGCAGTGTTTACATTGCTGCTTAGGAACACCAATAGTAACATTCAGACGGACATTAGAAGTACTTCCGGGTGTCCAGAACGTTCCCTATAGAGATGCAGATTGGTGCAGCATAGAGTTTTGCTGTGCGTGCGCAATAGCCTTGACTGAGATTTCCAAGATTGATCTCAGCCACAGAGGCAGAGTAAGGCAGGGACAGCCGCACCAGCACTATTGAAATCCACGACGATTATCCTGGAACTAACTTTCAATCAAGTTAGAAATGTTGCCCTTTTTCAACATTGAGCATAGTTAGGATACCCCCAGAACAAGATTTCTGTTCTACTCTTCATTTGCATTGCGTGCCCTAGTTGTGCCGGAAATGAAGTGGATTGTGAGGTAATTTGCTTAAACCTTAATAAGTATTTTAAAAGAAGGGAAAAAGAATTAGATCTATCACACAAAAATTTTAACTTGTGTTAGAGGTTCACCTCTTCGTCGTTTTATTCAACAATGTGATTTCCAAAAAGAATTGACAATTTCTCTTTAGCCCCTTAAGGACACATGACATGTGTGACATGTTATGATTCCCTTTTATTCCAGAAGTTTGGTCCTTAAAGGGTTAAACAGAATATTATGGTGTGTAGACCATGTCTGGACATTAGTAGTTTGAATAATTTGTAAGTAGCAACCAGACACGTGTTTTACCATGTTACTTATTTTACATATACATCACTGCCTAATTTGATATACTACATGTGTAACAATTCCTACACCATCTAGTTTCTTCACATGGCATCCTCATCCCAAAGACTCATCATTTTCTAAAGGCAAATCCATTCATTATTTCTGTTTGCTGTGATCCTGTTGTGAGAAAGGAGTGCTAGGAATTACAATGTAACGTGTGTTGAATGTAAATTAGATTGGCTATACTGAGAGTGTGCACTCGCCTCACTTGTACCTAAAAATAGTTTTGTCAGTTCTACTTAACTTCTAGCCTAGATTGCACAGCATTTCTCTCCATTGCATTATTTGCTGAAAGGCAAAGTTCGCCTGGCTGCCCTGCCTGCCACCATGTGTCAGGCTAAAGAATTTAAATATTTATAGCCCTAGCCATACACAGTCTGCTGTGCATAACACTTCTTTAACCTTGCCTCCCTGGATATATGACTGTCTAATCCCAACTTCTCTTTGTATTTTAATACCCCTTCCATGCAATCTTCTTCAGACAGTATTTACTCACCTCTGCAATTTTTCTCTATCCTTGCAGCCCTGGTAGCAGCACACTGATGACGTGTTGTACCCACCCCCTCCAGGAAGTGCCTTTTTTCACCTCTCCCACTTCGCACTTTACGGCGCCGCCCCTTGTTCTACTTACACAAGTTGACCGTGTGCGGTCCATATCGTTCTAGAATGCTGTGCAGGGCAGCAGTATGGAATCTTTTGGCGACTGGGAGCTGCAGGAGAAGCTGCGGTGTCAGGGCTTTCTATGGGGATGGCAAAGGTACCTAAAATGTCCTGGGTCATTAGCAAGGGGACCTGTCATCATCAATATCACCATCATCACTGCTTGTACTATGGAAGGCGAGCTACCTAGGGTGGTGATGGCTTTGGTGATGAGGATTGCATCACCAAAGATGCTCAGCCAACCACATGTAGAACTGCAATTGTCAGGCTATCACTGTATTATGGATGGGGTCTTATTCACTAAATACTGAATTGTTGTGAATTGAAAATAGAAGTTATTAAAATACTGGTTTGGGGGGAAAAAAATTCTTCAGGTTGCCTACAAATACAACCTGGCTATTTTTATTGTATTTTGTTTGTACTGTAAGCCTAAGGGTCTGAGGTTTTTAGAAAGGTTGAGCAGAAATATATCAATTTCTGCTCATAGAATTTCCTAAAACCAAACTATTCATGTGCCAAGATGGGTCAGTAGTAAAACTAAAGTTGTAAACCCTGAGATTTGTGAATAAACCCGAATATAAAAGCTCCCACTAAACAGTTCGTATGCAAGTGGCTTATACGGGTAAAGTAAACCGGTACAGCTTAGCTGAAAGTATTTTGTTGTTTTTTGGTTTTTTTTGTTTAGTGCCATAACCCACAGTTTGTGTATACACCCATACCCGAACATATTGCAGGCATTGACTTAAATCTTGATGCAGTTGAAATTTACACAAAGCAATAAAACAAGACCGTAAAACGCAATCGAAGGCAGCAGCTGCCAACAGGTAGTCCTCCAGATGTGGAACTGCATCTCTGATGGTGCTTCGTCCAAAGCACAGAAAAGCAGTGCATTGCAGTGGGGAAGATGTAGACCCCTGCCAGATGTCCCGTTGGATTTCCCATAGTTAAAAGATTTTGTTTGGCCTGTGTGACATAATTTTATTTATTTTGCAGATAAAATTCAGCAGATGAAGCCAGATGAATCGGAGTTAAGGCCTCTTTATATGGATGTTCAAGCTACCACTTCGCTGGTCTGTATCTAACTGTCATAATCATTTAGAACATTACCTGAAACTATTGCATTTCTTGGAATTCAGTCTTTTCAGTTAAAATAATATATCATCCTCATTTTAAACATTTTAATTTAACCTCTATGTTATAACATGTCATCTCAGACATTTGCTTGTCTACCTTTCCCACTCCCTTTTTCTGACCGCCATCGTTGTACAACTTTGTTTAGATTGTCAGTTACTTGACCCTTTGCTCACCATTTTGCAACCATTAAAATCATGTCCTCTTCCCACCTGTAGCATATTTTGTCAGGTAGTTTTGAAATGCAACGGGCAGTTGCAATATAGTGAGAATTGGGTCCGATAATTCACAGTCTGACACAATATGCTTACACATGGCTGTCAAAACAAGTCAGAAAGACGGCAAGGTGTTTCTTCTAAAATTTCAATATACACAATTTAAAAAAAGAATAAAATATTAGATGGTGTATGATAAAATAAAGATGATATTAAAGGGACACTATAGGCACCTGAACAACTTTAGCTTAATGAAGCAGTTTTGGTGTATAGAACATGCCCCTGCAGCCTCACTGCTCAATCCTCTGCCATTTAGGAGTTAAATCCCTTTGTTTATGAACCCTAGTCACACCTCCCTGCATGTGACTTGCACAGCCTTCCATAAACACTTCCTGTAAAGAGAGCCCTATTTAGGCTTTCTTTATTGCAAGTTCTGTTTAATTAAGATGTTCTTATCCCCTGCTATGTTAATAGCTTGCTAGACCCTGCAAGAGCCTCCTGTATGTGATTAAAGTTCAATTTAGAGATTGAGATACAATTATTTAAGGTAAATTACATCTGTTTGAAAGTGAAACCAGTTTTTTTTTCATGCAGGCTCTGTCAATCATAGCCAGGGGAGGTGTGGCTAGGGCTGCATAAACAAACAAAGTGATTTCCTTTAACCCCTTCAGGACGGATGACGGACGAGGTCCGTCATCCTGGGGATGCCCTTAACGACGGGTGACGGACCTCGTCCGTCACGCGGTAAAATTAACCCCGCGATCGCCGCAGTGCCGGCGATCGCGGGGTTAACGCTGTTGCTGGGTGCCTCCGAGTCAGGGGCAGACCAGCAACAGCAAATCGCAATGTCCCAGCACATGTGATCGCTGTGACAGCCAGTCACAGCGGTCACAATGCTGCTGGGACATCTGATCCGCCTCCCTCCACCTCTTGTGGGTTTGTGAAGTGGAGAGAGACGGATCGGTGCTACATTGTGTCCCTGAGGAATAGCTAAGGTGTAATAAAAATTAACTATCCCTTTTCCCCTGTCAAAAAAAAAAAATTAACCCTTTCCCTGCTGCTTGATCACTGCTAGCAGTGATCAATATACAGGTCACAGTACTTTACTGTGATCTATTTTTTTTTTTACACTTAAGGGTTAAATTTTATTTTTTTTTGTAACCCTAAGGGGTTCAATTTTATTATTTTATTTTATTAATTTGTGATTTAGTTAGTTGGGTGGGTGGAATTTAGTGTTAATTGGGGAATTTAGTTAGGGGTAAAAAAAAAAAAAAAGTTTAGTTATTTAGTTAAAGTTTTCTTGTTTCTGTGTTAACTGTATTAACAATGTTGCGAAAGTATAGCGCAGAGGAGGCTTATGCCCTGTTAGCCGCTGACTCAGAGGCGACCGACACTGCCTCAGAGAGTGACGCAGGGAGTGACGCAGGGAGTGACGCAGGGGACAGGGACTATGTGCCAGATTCTGCAGTAACATCAGAGGAAATCGCTGATTCCCCTAATGTTCAATATGGCACAGATGACTGGGTACCCCCTAATCATTTTTCACCAGACATCCCAGTGTTCACTGCCAATCCTGGCATACAGGCTGACCTGTCTGGCTATAATGCGCTGGATTGTATGGAGCTGTTTTTGGGGGATGATTTTTTTTGGGAGGTAGTTACCCAGACAAATCTGTATGCGGAGCAATATCTTGCACGCAACCAAGACTCCCGAATCGCCAGGACAGAGAGATGGTACCCAACCAGTGTGCCAGAAATTAAACAATTCTGGGCACTGACAATGTTAATGGGGATAGTTAAAAAGCCCACAATTAGAATGTATTGGACTAAAAATCCTATTTTTAATACCCCCATTTTTTCCCAGACAATGCATAGGGAGCGATATGAGGACATACTGCGTTTTATGCACTTTAATGACAATATGAAGTGCCCCCCAAAAGGTCATCCACAGTATGACATTCTTTATAAAATACGCCCCCTAATTTCCCACTTAAATGAAAAATTTGCCACTATTTACACCCCCAAAAAACACATTTCAATTGATGAGTCCCTCATGAAATATAAGGGAAGACTGGGATTTAGACAATATATCCCATCCAAAAGATCCCGGTATGGGATAAAATTTTATAAATTATGTGAAAGTGGCAGTGGCTATGTATACACCTTTCGTGTATATGAAGGAAGGGATAGCCACATTGATCCCCCAGGTTGCCCAGATATAATAGGGACAAGTGGGAAAATTGTCTGGGATTTAATAATGCCCTTACTTAACTATGGTTATCACTTATATATTGATAACTTTTATAACAGCATCCCACTCTTACAAATGCTGTACTGTTTTGAGACCGTGGCCTGTGGCACTATCAGGAAGAGTCGCACAGGTTTCCCAAAGGCTCTAGCAGAAAAAAAATTAAAAAAGGGGGAAACAGCAGCTCTCTGCCAAAATGAACTGCTGGCACTCAAGTACCGCGATAAAAAGGAGGTTTTCATCCTAACTACCATCCACGGGGAAAACACTCGCAGGGTCGCAGTTCGTGGCAGAGAGGAATATAAACGGGTGCCAGTCTGCATACAGCAATATAATCGACATATGGGGGGAGTTGATCTGTCCGATCAACTAATGCAGCCGTATCTAATCATGCGCAAAACCAGGGCATGGTATAAAAAAGTGGGCATATATATAATGCAGACGGCAGTCCACAATGCCTTTATTATTTTTAAAAAGGCAAATGCTCAGCTGAAATGCACATTCCTTTCATTTCAATTTCAGCTCATTTCTGGGTTACTTGAGTGCCACAGAGGGGGACAATCAGTGGAGCCTAGCAGAAGAATGGAGGCAGGTCACTTCTGCTTCAAGATTCCATCAACCTCCAGAAAGAAAAACCCCCAGAAAAGATGCAGGGTGTGCTACAAGAGGGGCGTAAGAGTTGAGACCAGCTATTACTGTCCTGATTGCCCCTCTCAGCCCGGCCTATGTATTGGCCACTGTTTTAAAGTTTTCCACACCCAGGCCGAATAAGCAGACCAGTTTTGGGGTCTGAATTTAGTCAACTGTCTGGTTACCAAATCTTGGCTTTGTCTCCCGTTTATCCTGTCTTCTCTGATCCTTGACCTCGGCTTGTCCTATCGTTGTTCCATTTCTCTTTACCCCTTTGACCTCGGCTTGTACCTTGACTATTCTCTGCTTGTATAGCCCGGCCATTCTAAGGACCGGTATTACAAGTGTCTCTCTCTGTGTTCTCTCTCTTTTTAGTCTGTCTGTGTTTTGGAATCCGTGACAGCGTTGCCCGTGACACAGATTACTGGGTACTACCCCCAGATAGGATTAAGCCAACTATTCCCCCTTTTCACAGCAAATAGTATGCACTTGTTCATAATTTGAATTGATGAGCTGCTTATACTTAAAAATATATGTGGTCTTTGAGAGGTAATTTGCAGTCCTGGGCTGCTAAAATAACACTTTGGCCCAGCATCCACTTTTGAAAAATATGAAAGTGATGTGTCAAGGTGCCCCTTCAACATCCACATATCCCTGAAAAAGGTACACATGGGGGTATTGCTGCACTAAGAGGACATAGCTGAGCAACATATTAGGTGTTCTACTGCCATAGCACACATAAGGATTACAAAATATACAGTAACAACTCCAAGTGTGTGTCAAAAAGGCAGAAAAAAATGCTCATTGTAACTAGACTTGGTACAAACTAACAAAAAAATGATCCAACGCTAAGGTTTAAAATATGCCTTTTGAAATGCCCTGGGGTGTCTACTTTAAAAAATGGTAGGCCTTTGTGGGGTAATTTGAACTTAAAACCTGCTAAGATGCTTGGAAATTGCACATGGGCCAAGCGTCAAAATTCAAAGTTCGGTAAAAACTGATATGGCTTGGTCTCCAATGTGCCCCTTCAACATCCACATATCCCTGAAAAGGGTACACATGGGGGTATTGCAGCATTAAGAGGACATAGCTGAGCAACATATTAAGTTTTCTACTGCCATAGCACACATAAGGATTACAAAATATACAGTAACAACTCCAAGTGTGTGTCAAAAAGGCAGAAAAAATGCTCATTGTAACTAGACTTGGTACAAACTAACAAAAAAATGATCCAACGCTAAGGTTTAAAATATGCCTTTTGAAATGCCCTGGGGTGTCTACTTTAAAAAATGGTAGGCCTTTGTGGGGTAATTTGAACTTAAAACCTGCTAAGATGCTTGGAAATTGCACATGGGCCGAGCGTTAAAATTCAAAGTTCGGTAAAAACTGATATGGCTTGGTCTCCAATGTGCCCCTTCAACATCCACATATCCCTGAAAAGGGTACACATGGGGGTATTGCATCATTAAGAGGACATAGCTGAGCAACATATTAGGTGTTCTACTGCCATAGCACACATAAGGATTACAAAATATACAGTAACAACTCCAAGTGTGTGTCAAAAAGGCAGAAAAAAATGCTCATTGTAACTAGACTTGGTACAAACTAACAAAAAAATGATCCAACGCTAAGGTTTAAAATATGCCTTTTGAAATGCCCTGGGGTGTCTACTTTAAGAAATGGTAGGCCTTTGTGGGGTAATTTGAACTTAAAACCTGCTAAGATGCTTGGAAAATGGCACATGGGCCGAGCGTCAAAATTCAAAGTTCGGTAAAAACTGATATGGCTTGGTCTCCAATGTGCCCCTTCAACATCCACATATCCCCGAAAAGGGTACACATGGGGGTATTGCAGCACTAAGAGGACATAGCTGAGCAACATATTAGGTGTTCTACTGCCATAGCACACATAAGGATTACAAAATATACAGCAATATCTCCAAGTGTGTGTCAAAAAGGCAGAAAAAATGCTCATTGTAACTAGACTTGGTACAAACTAACCAAAAAATTATCCTACGCTAAGGTTTAAAATATGCCTTTTGAAATACCCTGGGGTGTCTACTTTAGGAAATGGTAGGCCTTTGTGGGGTTTTTTGAACTTTCCAACTGCAATAATGTCCCAAATTGAAGCATAGGCCAATTAAATCCATCTCTCAAAATTGTACTGTAAATACTGAAATGGATAGGTCTCCTATATGGCACTGTAGCTTCACGAAATAGTGCTAAAGACATACAATGGGGGTGTCATTTTACTCAGAAGACTTAGCTGAGCATAATTCGGGGGGTTTGAACTTAGTGGCACATGTGAAATACACAAAATGCCTAGCAAAAATGCAATCCATATGTAAAAAACGCACAAAATTATTTTTTACCACATAATTTGGCATATATTGGTGAAAAAATGGGAGCACGTTAAGGCACAATATGCACCTTATGAGATACCCTGGAGTGTCTACTTTTACAAATGGTAGGCCTTTGTGGGTTTTTTTTGAACAGTCAAACTGTTATAATACCCCAAATGGACGCATAGGCTCATCAAATCCGTCTCTCAAAATTCTACTTTGAATACTGAAAAGGATAGGTCTCCTATATGGCACTGTAACTTCACGAAATAGTGCCAAAGACATACAATGGGGGTGTCATTTTACCCAGAAGACTTAGCTGAGCATAATTTGGGGGGTTTGAACTTAGTGGCACATGTGAAATACACAAAATGCCTAGCAAAAATGCAATCCATATGTAAAAAACGCACAAAATTATTTTTTACCACATAATTTGGCATATATTGGTGAAAAAATGGGAGCACGTTAAGGCACAATATGCACCTTATGAGATACCCTGGAGTGTCTACTTTTACAAATGATAGGCCTTTGTGGGGTTTTTTTGAACAGTCAAACTGTTATAATACCCCAAATGGACGCATAGGCTCATTAAATCCGTCTCTCAAAATTCTACTTTGAATACTGAAAAGGATAGGTCTCCTATATGGCACTGTAACTTCACGAAATAGTGCCAAAGACATACAATGGGGGTGTCATTTTACTCAGAAGACTTAGCTGAGCATAATTTGGGGGGTTTGAACTTAGTGGCACATGTGATATATACAAAATGCCCAGCAAAAATGCAATCCATATGTAAAAAACGCACAAAATTATTTTTTACCACATACTTTGGCATATATTGGTGAATAAATGGGGGCATGTTAAGGCACAATATGCACCTTATGAGATACCCTGGAGTGTCTACTTTTACAAATGGTAGGCCTTTGTGGGGTTTTTTTGAACAGTCAAACTGTTATAATACCCCAAATGGACGCATAGGCTCATTAAATCCGTCTCTCAAAATTCTACTTTGAATACTGAAAAGGATAGTTCTCCTATATGGCACTGTAACTTCACGAAATAGTGCCAAAGACATACAATGGGGGTGTCATTTTACTCAGAAGACTTAGCTGAGCATAATTTGGGGGGTTTGAACTTAGTGGCACATATGAAATATACAAAACGCCCAGCAAAAATGCAATCCATATGTAAAAAATGCACAAAATTATTTTTTACCACATACTTTGGCATATATTGGTGAAAAAATGGGAGCATGTTTAGGCACAATATGCACCTTATGAGATACCCTGGAGTGTCTATTTTTACAAATGGTAGGCCTTTGTGGGGGTTTTTTGAACAGTCAAACTGTCATAATACCCCAAATGGAAGCTAAGGCTCATTAAATCCATCTCTCAAAATTCTACTTTGAATACTGTAAAGGACAGGTCTCCTATATGGCACTGTAGCTTCACGAAATAGTGCCAAAGACATTCATATGGGGTGTCATTTTACTCAGAAGACTTAGCTGAGCATAATTTGGGGGGTTTGAACTTAGTGGCACATATGAAATATACAAAACGCCCAGCAAAAATGCAATCCGTATGTAAAAAATGCACAAAATTATTTTTTACCACATACTTTGGCATATATTGGTGAAAAATGGGGGCATGTTAAGGCACAATATGCACCTTATGAGATACCCTGGAGTGTCTACTTTTACAAATGGTAGGCCTTTGTGGGGTTTTTTTGAACAGTCAAACTGTTATAATACCCCAAATGGATGCATAGGCTCATTAAATCCGTCTCTCAAAATTCTACTTTGAATACTGAAAAGGATAGGTCTCCTATATGGCACTGTAACTTCACGAAATAGTGCCCAAGACATGCAATGGGGGTGTCCTTTTACTCAGAAGACTTAGCTGAGCGTAATTTGGGGGGTTTGAACTTAGTGGCACATGTGAAATATACAAAATGCCTAGCAAAAATGCAATCCATATGTAAAAAACGCACAAAATTATTTTTTACCACATAATTTGGCATATATTGGTGAAAAAATGGGAGCATGTTAAGGCACAATATGCACCTTATGAGATACCCTGGAGTGTCTACTTTTACAAATGGTAGGCCTTTGTGGGTTTTTTTTTGAACAGTCAAACTGTTATAATACCCCAAATGGATGCATAGGCTCATTAAATCCGTCTCTCAAAAATCTACTGTGAATACTGAAAAGGACAGGTCACCTAAATGGCACTGTAACTTCACGAAATAGTGCCAAAGACATACAATGGGGGTGTCATTTTAATCAGCAGATGTAACTGAACACAAGATAAAACTTTGTACAGGAATAGCACACCAACTTTACAAAATAAACATGAGAAGTTCTTTGTTATAAGTTTGTGTGCCAAAAACCCCAAAAAACTAAATTTTACTCCAATATTTAGCAGAGGTTGGCGGTGAAATGGCTATGTAGAAAGTGTCAAAACCACCTTAGGTAAATAGCCTGTGATGTCTACTTTATATAAATATATACTTTTGTGTGGCAATTTTGTTTTCTTTTATGGCTATTAAGCTTACAAGACAAACATACCAAATTCTAAAATCGCTCCACATTAAAAGTTTATTTTACTCCTTGTGCTTTGTGACCTGTAACTACCAAAAAAAACTGAAAATCCCAGACACATTATATATTCTGTAAATCAGAACAAATAAATAAATTTATTTTTAATTACTTTCCTTAACCTGCACTAATTATGCACACATTATTATTGCAAAAACTGTAAAAAAACCAATATTTTTCATTTTTTTTTGCATTTTTCTGTATTTTTTTTATAATAAGTAAGCATTTATATATATATATGTTATATCAAATTAAAGCCCTTTCTGTCCTTTAAAAAACAGTATATAATATGTGTCGGTGCAATAAATGAGAGAGATGCAAATTGCATTTGAACGCAAACAGCAAGAAAATGCAAAAATTGCTTGTGTCATTAAGCGTAAGTCAAGCTTCTGAAGCTGTGTCCTTAAGGGGTTAATGTAACACTATAGGGTCAGTCACACAAACATGTATTCCTGAACCTATAGTGCTAAAACCACCATCTAGTCCCCACGCCCCTTGCCCTCCAAAATCTTAATTTTATTCTAGACTGCTGCTGGCTCTGCCACTGATCTGCCTGCTTGGCTGACATCCTCAGAAGTGATTTTCTGAGATGATCACAATGCTTTCACATAGGAAAGCATTGGTTTTGCTGAGCTTTTCAAGGAGGCAGATCAGAGGCAGAGCCAGTACAAGTCAAACACAGCCCTGGCCAATGAACAACATCTCAGAGATGCATTGAATTAATTAATCTCTATGAGGAAAGCTTAGTGTCTCCATACAGAAGGTGGAGACACTGAATGGCAGTACTGCCCCTGGAAGCACCTCTGAGGAGTGGCCAGTGGAGTTAATGTAAGCCGTGTATTTTCTCTGAAAAGCCTGAAGGGAATGATTATACTCCAATACAATAAGCTGTAGTTGTTCTGGTGACCATTGTGTATTATTATTATTATTATTATTATTATTATTATTAATTTTTTTTTTTTAAATTAATTAATTTATTTATTTATAAAGTGCCAGCAAATTCTGCAGTGTTTCTTTAACTTCGTAAAATAGATCTTTTCCTTTCCAAAAAAGCAGCGTCACAACTAAACAATTAGCTTTTATAGGGTTAGATTGACTCCTTTTTATTTTTCTATTTCTTGTTTTAATCATTAGATTATAAAAAATGTTTCTACCCTTGTCCTCCCTCCCTGACCTTGTCTATCCTCCAGTGAGGGGGAATGACATCAGCCAAGAAGGATTAGGCTGAGGGAAGAACTTCGCCTCAGTGATGGAATAGAGGAAGAATTATTTTTTTTTTTTTTTTTTAAAGCAAATTTTGCATGGGGAGGACAGACCACCACAGAAAGAGTTACTGTAACCAAGACTGGTGTTTTCTGAATTCTTTAACTTTACTCTTAGATTGACCTAATGTTAGACTGTGGCAGTTTTCGCAAATAAAGATTTTCTTTGATTCGCTGATAGGCAGTCATGTTTGAGTTCTTAAAATATCTCTATATATACTCTTCCTCTATCTAGATATATATATATATTTTTTTTTATATAATTCTTTATTTTTGAAAAGATAGGTGAAGAGGTAAACAGCAAATATTCCAGTGTGTACATATTTAATTCAAGAGACAAAATATATTCATATCATACAGCACGCAGGCAACACTCATTTTGATGTCTCATTACTTCGCTGTCCCCTTCTCCCCCATCTCCCAATTTTTGTTCTAATTTTTGAGATTGAGGTAAAAGATAGGCAGAAAGAAATAGGAAGGAAAGTGATAGTAATAGATATAACGGTTAGATATCCTGCTGGGCAAGGAGCTAGACACCAGAGATCTTAAAGAATTTTTTTTTTTATCGAAAAACATTAAATCAAGGCCGTGGTTGGTAAATGGCAATCTAAAACCTATAATCACTGCAGAATTTCTGATCTGTATAACTATTGTAATTTTGTACTCAAGATTCTGATCTGTTACTTGTTTCTTAATGTGTTTTCTTAATGACCTCTTTCTGTTTAGGATCCCCGAGTTCTAGACAGCATGATGCCTTTTATGGTGAATTATTATGGAAACCCTCACTCCAGGACTCATGCCTATGGATGGGAGAGTGAAAAGGCAATGGAGAAAGGTCGACAGGTAATCTCTATACGTCTGATATTTTAATATTTTAGAGAATTCTACACTATGGTATACAAAGTCTAATGTTTGGAATGTCCTTTGATCCATACAAGTCAACAACTGCCTTATAATGCCCAGCTTTTAGAAGAAGCCAGTTGTCCCCAAATGCCCAGCCTTCACCAGTATTCAACCATTGATACAAAATTGTCATCAAATGACCTGACAAAATGTTGCCTTGGTTACCCACATTTTTTTTAAATTTATTTTTTTAATGCATTTCTCATGATGCTCAGCTGGCCAAAAAGCTCTCTCTTTATATGGTGAATTGTTTCTCCTTTAATAAAATGTATTGTTTCTTTACCTTCTTTCTGTTTGTATTGTATTGTAGTCTATGTTTAGACTATTCTATATGTTCTGCCAGCTGTTCATGTGTTCAGATACTTAATAAACACACTAAAAATGTCGCACCTTCTCTTCTACAGCAAGTTGCCTCTCTGATTGGAGCAGATTCTCGTGAAATCATTTTCACAAGTGGTGCAACAGAGTCAAATAATATTGCATTGAAGGTAATGTTTCGTTTGAGTGCAAATCTAAAATAATGGTACACGGATCTATGTTTACTACTTGTCGACCCCCGTAAATAGAGAGTGTTTTGGGCAACTTGTGAATATTTTAAGTTTCTCAAGTTCCCGTACAGGTGTGTTCTCATTTGCATCCTAGAGATACTATAACTCATATTTTTCTAAATATGCTGATGAAAAATACTGGGGGGGGGGGGAGAAACAAATAACATAGCTGTTTGCTTTATTTTAAAAACATTAATGTAATGTTGCCAAGTGTGAAATTTTAAATATGGTTGATTACTGTTAAATCACCCATTGTACAGCGCTACGGAATTTGCTGGTGCTATATAAATAATAATGATAATAAAGGAATTTTCTTCACACATAAGTACTTCAGCTTACTTAAAGCGGCACTGTCATGCCGAATCCTGTTTTGTTTTTGTTGGGTTTTTTTTAACCCCCCTTCCGTCTCCACTATCTCTAACTGACCCCCTAGTCACCCCCAAATGCCCTTAAGCCCCCCACATTACCTAATGTTTTATCTTTATTTTCTGCCCCGATCTTTATTCAGGGCGTCGCCATCTTTGTGTGGGTAGATGAAGTCCCTGTGGGACACGTCATATGCCCACACTAGATAGACTGTGAGATTCCCGCACATGCCCAGTGAAACACTTGGACATGCGAACAGGAATTTAATCTATTCATTCATTCATCAGACAGACGAATTAATGAATAGAAATGTCAGACGAACAAACTAACTAATCGTTCAGTTTATTACAAGGAGGGAGCTACCGGCGCACAGCTCCCTCCTTGTAATATGTAAAGATAGAAGCTATACCACTATACCGCTATACAGCGAGTAGGGGCATGTCTACTAAACAGTGAGCAGCCTGTGGCTGCTCACTATAAAAAAAACAAAAATAACAAAAACTATTGGTCCCCACCCCTAAATGACGGGTGGGGGCCCTAAAGTAAAATAAGGGGTGAGACCTACTGTCCTCCCCCCCCCCACCCTTGGGCGGCGGGTGGGGGCCCTAAGTCAAATTCCCCCATCAAAGGTGACTAGGGGTCCCCAAGCCCCTAGTCACCCACCCCCCCCCCACCCAAATAAAAAGTCCCCTACCTTGCCCCCTCACCCTAAAAAATAGTGAGGGGGAATAAAATAACTAACCTGTAAAGTAAAATTAAACTTACCATTCGACGTCTTCTTTTTTCTAAAATCTTAATTTTTCAGCCCCAAAAAAGGCCAAATAAAAAACCATCATAACCATCAAACTTAAAATAAAATAAAAACCAGAGCGCAAAAAAAAATCCATCTTCACCCATGGAGGGCTCCGCGCAGACTGAGCTCCACAGGGCGGGGGAAGGCTTATAAAGCCTTGTCCCGCTCTGCAATTAGGCTAAGAACACTCTGATTGGTGGGTTTAAGCCAATCAGAGTGCTCTTTGTCATTTTACACAGCATGGGAAAATTCCAAAGAACTTTCCCACGCTGTGTAAAATGACACAGAGCACTGTGATTGGATGGATTTCAAGCCATCCAATCACAGTGCTCTGTGTCATTTTACACAACGTGGGAAAGTTCTTTGGAATTTTTAAGGTGTCATAATTTCAATGTTATGAGTGTTCTTAAAAAACCAATGCTTGTGGTATTGCTGCTATGTTCCTTTGTTGCTCAAAATTTGTATTAATGCTTTGCAATGTCAGTATCTCGGGTAATAAAAGGTTGTGCCATATATAAGTGTTTCTGTTGTTTTTCTTTGTAACATAAAGGGAGTTGCCAGATTCTACAAGTCGCGTAAGAAGCACATCATCACTACACAGACAGAGCACAAGTGTGTACTGGATTCATGTCGGTCACTAGAGGCAGAAGGATTCCAAATCACGTATCTTCCTGTCAAAAGTAACGGCTTGTTGGACTTGAAGGTTAGCCCTGGACTTCATCTAAGTGGATAAAAGAAATATATAAAAATATGTATATTATATTGTATGCTTCAACGCTGTTTTTTTTCGTCTAGGTCTTGGAGGAAGCAATCCGACCAGACACAAGCCTGGTGTCTGTAATGGCTGTGAACAATGAGATAGGTGTGAAACAGCCTATACACGAGATGGGTAACTTCTCTAATAATTTTTTTCCTAATATTTGACATACATAAGTATTCTTTTTATTTACCCCATAACAGTATTTTGTGCTGAGTAACATAGTAGGTGTCCTGTATCAAAAATATAAAGCGACACTATAGTCACAAAACAATTTTAGCTTAATTAACCAGTTTTGGTGTATATCATTATGCCCCTGAGGTTTCACTGCTCCGTTCACTGCCATTTAGGAGTTAGATCACTTTTATTTTATGCAGCCCTAGCCCCACCTTCCCTGGCTGTGGCTGATACAGCCTGCATGAAAACAAACTGGTTTTGTTTTCAGTCAGATGTAACTTACTTTAAAAGTTTTTATCTCCTGTTTTGTAAAATGAACTTTAGTCACACAGAAGATGTTCCTGCAGGGTCAAGAATGTGTATTAACAGAGCAGGAGATAGGAAATTCTAAATTAACTAAAATGTACAATAAAGGAAGTTTAAACATCAGATGTCTCCTTACAGGAAGTGTTTAGGAAGACTATGCAAGTCACATACAGGGAGGTGTGACTGGCGCTGCATAAACAACGTGATATAACTCCTAAATGGCAGAGAATTGAGCAGTGAGACTGCAGGGGCATGATCTATGCACCAAAATTGCTTCATTAAGCTAAAGTTGTTTTGGTGCCTATAGTGTCCCTTTATTTGTATTATTTTTTATTTTATTTATTTTTATGCGTAAACAATTTCTTGGACTGATCTCCTCCTAGAAATAAATATTAAACTGTTGTGATGAAGGCACAATCTAAAACACAGGGAAGTGCTGTTGTTCTGACTTTGTTATTGTGATAAGCAACTTTCTGGAGAAAGGTATTCCTAAAACAATTTATTCAGATAGTTTTGCTCAAATATGGTCAATGTTACTGAACTTAAAGTAAAAAGAACATGCTGTTCCAAACTTGAAAGAAAAGTCTCTCACGAACAAAAAATAAACACATAGATGGTCTACGGACTTGCTCATAAGTCATCCACCAGTGCAGTTCATCCCTTGGTGGTTTTCCCCGTCATTCCGTAGTCATGTATGACCTCCTCTCCAGAACACCTCCAGGCGCCATCTTTAATATCCTGTGTATCTTCTAAGTTCATCATCAGATTGGGCAAAGCGTTCTATTCGGCTTTTAAATTCAGTAACAATTGAATTAACGAGGAGGCAATTGATTTATTTAAACTTATTTAACTGATCTCCTAAACAAGAGGCATTTTTCTTAACTAGTTGTTATGTAAACCATTGAAATTTTACATAATTTAATATTGGCCCCATTCTAATGTAAAATACTAACACACTTTAGGGTCCTCGACTCCTGCATTTGGAAAGCCTAGGTTTAAAACTCATTATATATATATATATATATATATATATATATATATATATATATATATATATATATATATATATATATATATATATATATATATATATATATAATATTTTATTTTTTTTATTTTATTTTTTCACTCGGTTTCCTTATCAGGAAATGTTCAATTTTTTTTTTTATCTTTCTCTACTTTCACCTGTTCTCAATGCTTATCTTTTTGCCGTTTACCACTTTATTGCTGAAACATTACAGCGTGCCTACGTCGGTGTTTAGTCAAACATGTATTTTTCATTGTGTATATAAATGTTCAGGCTAGCCATGTTAGTTGCAGATGATATAAAACAGCTGAAGGTCCACACTTGGATATTGTCCAGGAATAAGGGCCAACTGTTTATGACTCGGCATTATAACAACATGCTGCGTTTTGGTATCGGCTAACACACATGGATAAATGTACATTTGTGCAACATTATTCTACAACAGACTCTTAATCTAGCAGAAATTTGTCTAAATGTCACAGTTTCAGTTTCTGATCTCGGTGCCACTTCCATTTAGATTTGTCTTTCTTTTTGCAGGACATATTTGTAGCTCGCGTAAGGTATTTTTCCACACAGATGCAGCACAAGCAGTGGGAAAAATTCCAGTCAATGTTAATGAGATGAAGATTGATCTGATGAGTATCAGCGGACATAAAGTCTATGGGCCCAAAGGTGTGTTGATCATTTACAGTACTGATTGGGTCTAATATGAGTAGAACTTTTACATTTTTTAATTTATTTTTTCTTTTCTTCTTCAATACATAGTAAATCATGTCTCCCATAATGGTGAAAGTGATATTTTTTTTTTTTTAATTCTTTATTTTATTTGTGCTTGGAGTAACAGTAAACATGCAGAGCCACGACAGCTGCTGCAGGCATAGTCATAACATTTCACATAGCACATTTTTATAATATAGATTTAACAAGCTTTAACATCATCGATTTGTGGTATTTAGTAATCATGCTAAGACAAATAGCACAATTTAAAGTGTTATGGAAGGCAGGCTAAACATATTTCTCAACATGAGGTTAATTCTCATTTTATCAACATATTAAACATGCTTGTACCAGTCAGGGAGTAGAGACTGTTAGGCTGGGCGACTTAGGCTTGATGCTCTGACTGCTGTAGTGGTTGCCTTAGTGAGGTGTCATATGTTGGGATGGTGAAGCGTATCTAAGATGGGAGAAGACCACCAAGTGTGAGGAACATTTTGTTTAGCCATAAGGTGAAAGTCTGGCAAGCTAGTGGGGGAGTATATCTAAAAGGTTATTCATGTCTTTGGTAACAGGCTCTGCATCTTCAACTAAATAAAAACTCAAACTGAATGCATTAATAACAACTAAGGAGAATGACACAGGTACAGTCTGCAAGTCTATATCAGCCAATACCACATGTGTGAGGCAGGCGGAATCTGGGTTTTCGTGTTGGCAGGCCGTTTCGATCAAGTCCTCCTTTATCCTCAGGTCTTGGTCGGGAGTCCCCCAGAGCGTGCAGGCCATCACATAGGTGTTGCTGTTCCTCCGCTCCAGGAGCCAGATCTGTGATGCCTTCCAGTGCTTCTTTATCTCTGGGCTCTTCGTCTGCATAGACAGTGCCCGTCGCCCCCTGGGAGCCTCTATCACTGACGGGCTCACTTGGCTGCAGGTGTTTGATGGGCTGGACATCCATCCGGTCTCTCAGCTTATTTGACTTTGACGCGTTCGGTTCACGCTGGAGAGCCCCCCCAGGGGCAGGTACGGAAAGGGTCTGCTGTAGCTGTCGAGCCTCTATTCGGGCCCAGAAGGCTGTGCAGAGCTTGTCGAACGCTGTGTTGAATCTGAGTTCCCACGAGGGTGTTTGAGGTACACAAGGCTTGGGTTCTTCGGGGTTCATTTTTTTTTTTAAATTCTTTATTTTTCTTGTGCTTATGGTTACAACATGCTTGCAGCGCCACGACAGCGTGTACAAGCTATTCAATATCATACAGTGTCATGGCAGAGTAAACAGCACATTTATATTTTTGAAATATAACCGGTTTGGTACAAGTGGATAGAACTTTTATAGCTAGTTTATGCATGCTAAGTTGAGTAGTGTGGATATGGTTCTTAAGTTACAGGCCATGCAAGTTAACGACAGGTATAGATTTTCTACACTGCTTGGATTTAAATTTAACCACCAGGGGGGCAGCGAGCCTCTGAGTTTGCTGGATAAACTGACATGTAGGCTTATCTATTTTTAAAAGAGTTACATGTGGGTCTGCTGAATAGGGTCAGCTGCAATAATGCTAGACATATCAGTATGAATAAAAACTAAAAAACAGAAGACACAAAGCGTTCTGCTGGGCTTTTGATTATGGTTATACAGGGTTAGCAGTCACTTAGTTACTCCTGCAGCTGTGCGGGGTCGGCAGGTGTCCTGGCTATAATCAAGTCGCTGGTGTTCCCCGCTGGTTGCGTGAGTGCCCAGGCACCCGTTGGCCAGGAGTACGTTTGGTCGCATGTCTGCAGGCTTCAGCCTCAAGTATGAAAAGAGGCTTGTGTCCTATGTCCGTTGCACTTCTGTGCCCATTCAGGGTTATAGTCCCAAGTGAGTCCCCGCAGATCCGCCGGAGACCATGTGAGATGTTGCCTCAGATAATATATAAGCTGTGCTTACATGTTGAATGTGCCCTCCTTAGAGTCGTACGGTGGGTGGAAAGTGTGTGTCGTTGTTTGCGGGACACAGTCAATGCTTGGTGTTCTGGTCCGCCTCTGTTTTCAAGCGGTGCCCAGCGGTTGCTCTATTGCTGCCACCTCCATTCTCCCACTAGTGAGGGACGCGGCGGCCATCTTAGGTTTCGCCATGCGGTCCCTAGTCTTTCGGTTCGCAGCCCAAGCGTCATGAGTGGTCGCTGCCTCTCCGGTGGGGTCCGGGATAACCCCCCCGGCCCACAGGGGGGGAGAACGGGGCCCTCAGTAGGCGTGCGAGAGGTCCCGCCGGACTAAGCACGGGAGACCGGCCGCATCTCCCGCCAGAGCCTCACGACGGGCCGCAATCCCAGCTGCCCAGTAATCAGCATCGCCGGTAGGACGGGAGTCGGTTTGTGCACCAGGAGTTGTGCTCAGGTCCCCTGTGTCGCCCATTAGCAGCTGTGTGGCTTTTTCAGGGGAGGAAGAGTTATTTGAAGCTAAATGTTTAGGTTTCATGGAGGAGCCGAGCTGTTCCACGTCCATCCAGCTTGGCGGTCAGGCCCCGCCCCCCGTTCTTCGGGGTTCATGTTGGCGAGCTTTGCTTCTCCTCGCCACGCTGGTTCCTCTGCAGCGGCCATCTTGGGGCCTCTGTAGAGTTTCAGGCTTATTGGAGTTGTGCTGGCTGGTTTGTGCCAGAGTGCTGAGATTCTTTGGTGGGGTCCGGGATAACCCCCACCGGACCACAGGGGGGGAGTACGGGTGCCAGCCGTGTGTAGGATTGGCCTCTCCGGGCCAGGATCGGAAGATCGGCCGCTTCTCCCGCCCTGTCCACAAAGGAGGCCGCAGTGTTCGATTGGCCGTCAGTCGGCATGGGCATACAGTTGCTTGTCTTGTTTTGCTTCCAAGGATGCCCAAGTGCGGCGGCAGGAAGCCAGGTGTGGGCTGAAAACAATGATTTTGGGGGCAATAAAGCGCTATTTGCCCAGGAGCTGACAAGACATGCGTCTGCTCGTCTTGATGGTCAGGCCCCGCCCCCCGTGAAAGTGATATTTATGCCCCACCTGGAAGACCCTTCAAAAGGGATACGATTTAGATAGGTTTAAAATGAACCAATATATGTTTTAATGCGTTCGTACCAGGAGAAAAAAGGGAGGTGAAAAAAAAAAAAAAAAAATACAAAAGACTGACAGCGGGAGGATATTTTAATTTTAAAGGGTCAGGAACACAAACATGTATTCCTGACCCTATCATGTTAAAACCACCATCTAGCCCCCCTGGGCCCCTCATGCCTCCATAAATATAGCAAAATCTTACTGTATTCAAGCCTGAATCTGTAACTCTGCATGCTGTTAGACTCAGAAAAACAAACAGTCTGCTGATATAATCAGAAGTGGTAGCTGAGACTGACCAAGAGGCAGATCAGGGGCAGAGCCAGCTTGATTCAAACACAGCCCTGGCCAATCAGCATTTCCTCATAGAGATGAATTGAATCAATGAATCTCTATGAGGAAAGTTCAGTGTATGCAGAGGGAGGAGATACTGAATGTTTGGATGCATTTTAGGCAGCCATGACCCAGGAAGGATCTCGAACAGCCATCTGAGGAGTGGCCAGTGAAGTTATCACTAGGCTGTAATGTAAACACTGCATTTTCTCTGAAAAGACCGTGTTGACAGCAAAAAGCCTGAAGGTAATGATTCTACTCACCAGAACAAATTCAATAAGCTGTAGTTGTTCTGGTGACTATAGTGTCCCTTTAAGTTTTAAAAAGTCCCCTGATGACATCATGCTGGAATATTAGTTCCCACTCTACCTTTTTAAGTGCAACACTAAAGCTTTGTGCCCTTCTCTTTTTGTATGCCAGGAGTTCTGTTTGTTTATTTACTTGATGGTATATGTCTGTGAAAACCTTTTTCTTTTTCTTCCCTGCCGTTTATCTGCTACAGTGACCACTCACACTTCTATTTACTGCTCCATACAGAAATTATATATAATTTATCTAATGTATTGCATGACAATAAATATTACGGTGTGTATGTTTAGGAATTGGAGCAATTTATGTCCGTCGACGACCAAGGGTCAGAGTGGAAGCCCTGCTTAGTGGTGGTGGTCAAGAAAGAGGCCTGAGATCTGGGACTGTCCCAGCTCCGCTCACGGTTGGATTTGGTAGAGCTTGTGAAGTAGCCCAGGAGGAGCTGCAGGTATGTGCTGCATGTGATTTGCCCTGGACAGTTCTCCATTTAAGTGGATTGATAAAGGGTTTTGTTTACTTTGGCCATTCTAGATGAAATTTCTGCCATTCTCATGTAAGACTGAGCTCTCCCATAAGAGCACTCCAGCACTGGAATCCTGGGCATCTACACCCCTCACACTGCCATCACATTTCTAGTTTTCCTTTCTTCCCTTTAAAATAAATATTTTCTTTTATTTTGTTTTCAGTATGACCACAGGAGAATCAGCTATCTTTCTGATAAACTAATCAACAATATCATGAGCCAAATTCCACAAGTTGTTTTAAATGGAGATCCAGAACATCGTTACCCAGGTAACAAACATATGTTATGAAAGGTCACTCTTTGATAACGTAGAGACGGACACAGAGCCGGCCTTAGGCCATTAGCCGCCCTGTTCGAAAAAAACTTCAACATCCCCCCTCCCTGTTCATACCTTTACATCATGTATTGTGTGTGTGTGTATAGTGTTGGAGTATTTCTATAGGGTTTTATTACATTAATTATTATTTCAAAACCAATATTAAATTCCCCTTCTCTGTTGGTACCTTGAAGATAGGGAGGCATGCTGATCTCTGGTGGTCCAGTGTGCTGGGAATCTGTCACACACAAAGAATTATAGGCACAGTCGCACACACTGTTGCAGGCAGTCACACACACATCCACACTGTGACGAAAGCACCTTCGTCACTGGGATTTGAAGAGGCCTGCTTGCCAGCCTCTTGCCTTGTGACTATGGTCCCTGGGATATATTGCCCTTTAAAAACACTATTTGGGCATATTGGATTTTAAAGGCACTGTTTCTGCACCTTGGACTTTTAACTGGAACAGATTCAAACATGTGGCGGCGGCCATCTTAAATTGTCCATCAGTGTTTTGCCGTCGAGTGTATGGAGCTGTTTTGGGCATGGGAACATGTGCACGGTGGGGCAAAACTATGACTTTCAGGAAATTCCTGAACCGATCTGGGTGATTTTTTTTGGATATGTTGTTCACCCAGATTGGGGCTATCAGGGGTTGTGACTTTGTGGGGATATGTTGTATTTGGGTTTTTTGTTTTGTTTTCTGCTTCGAGTTAATCAAGGCAGAGGGGAGGGCTTGTGTGCTGTATGTGGGAGTGTCGGACATTGTTGTATTGATCTGATTGGTTTGTGTGCCTGTGTTCCATCAGGCCCAGGGGGTGTATAAATTGTGAGTGCTGGCTTGCATTGGTTTGTGTGCCTGTGTTCCATCTGGCTTGAAGAATTGTATAAATTGTGAGTGCTGGCTTGCATTAAACAGACTTGTTCTACCCTTCATGAAGTTTCAGCTCATGTTTGGGGGATTGGAGAACTACCTACACTCTGGGGATTGCTATAATCACTATACTTCCCAGAGTAAGCTCTTGTAAGAGCTTGTTCCTGCTCTCTGGATTTAGGAGAGGTCTGCCTACTGGAAGCTGGTCCCTGGTCTTGGGCCCAGAGTAGGAGGAAGACGGCGAGACCCCAACTAAGCTGCGACGGTTCGTGGGGTCTGCAGTGGTTATGGTGTCTAGTGGAGTGCTGGGAGCCCTTGGGAAGCACTAGGAGCATGCGTCAATGGAAGGTACCCAGTCGGGGTGCCAGGCAATCCGATACACACACAGTTAGACAGTTACACACAGACCGTTGCAGGCAGACAGTCACACACACAGTTACAGGCACAAAGAGATATATATATTTTTTATATATATATATATATATATATATATATATATATATATATATAATATACACACACACACACCTCTGCAGGTGTGCACACACTGTTATAGGCAGACCGATACACATACACAGTTGTAGGCAGTCAAACACACACACACAGTAAACGTCAGACACGCACACACAGATACAGGCAGACACACATTTACAGGTAAGAAGTGACACACTGTTACAGGCAGTCATACACACATGCAGTTACAGGCACACACACAGTTGCAGACTCACACATATACAGTTACACACACACACACACACACACAATTACATACAGTCACACACACCCCTATAGTTACAGGCAGACAGTCGCACACACTTTGGACTGGAGTGAGGAGGGAAGGCACTGCAGTTTCTGGTACCTAGTAGTTGGGAAAGCAGGGGCTCCTTCCTGCTTCCCATTTAGTGTGCAGAAGTTTGTACTACTGCATGTACAAAAAACTTCAGCAGTCCTGGGTCAGCTCAAATATGCAGATTTTATGTGCAGAATATAAGTTCTTTGTAAAATAACACTCCGCGTGCATTTTAAAGGTAGGAAGAGATTCTAGATTCATTCCTGTGAATCCATCAACCCTCAAAATCTAGGGATCCCATGTTTTGTAGCATGAACTTGAAGAGTTATTTAGTAATGATATCAGTTTATCCATTTAAATGCTTTTCAGAGATTTTGAGGTACACCCTGCAAAATGAAGGAACACTCCGGGCACCATAACGGCTTCAGCCCATGGTATTGATTAGGGTCCCAGGAGTTAAGTGGCAACCCTGTTGAGTTAGTAGTCAAACCATTTTAAAGAATGGTTTGACAATGTACCAGAGTCCTGCTAGGCACCCGTTGCTTCTTCTTCTGCTGCAGGAAGCTCCAGCCACAAAGCTAAGCCCAACCGTGCAGGACTGCACTCATTGGCTGGGAGCTCTCACCCTATGAGCATGTCCTTTTGAGCTTATCTCAGTAGACCCAACTCATTGCAGGGGTTTCCAGCAGCGGGGGAGGCGGTGGTGGACATCTGTTAGGTTGTCAAACTGTTTAAGAATGGTTTGACTACTTACTCTGGGAGAGAGCCAGGGCATTGCTGGCACCATAACTACACTGAGCTGTAATGGTTTTGGTACTTGTAGTGTTTCTTTAAGGTGGAGGCCAACCTTTAGTTAAAGAATGTGTGAGTTGTTTTTAGTATTGGGGGCACCTTCTTCAAATAATAAAGAAGGCATAATATTCTGCTTTTTCTTTTCCAGGCTGTGTTAACCTTTCCTTTGCATACGTTGAAGGCGAGAGTTTGTTGATGGCTTTGAAAGATGTGGCTCTTTCATCTGGCAGGTACAGTAAACTGTTGTGGAAATCTTCTGTGCAGTTTGATGGGTCATATGATTGACTGGTGAACCAGCATAGTACTGATTCCCTTGAAGCCAGGGAATATAAACCCTTGCTAAAGAAATTAATTTTTAAATAATTCATAGTGGAACTCTCCCTGGATTAGTCCACATAACAGATACATTCACACACACCAGCCGATAAACCCCCCCACTATAGACACCATTTGATATCATTGCTATTTGACTAAATTCTAAATTCCGCACCATAAAACGTGTCATTCAGTCAGACAATCAATTATATGAAGTTCTATGAAGATTCACCCAATAATATTCCTAGTTTTATATATACATAGGCCCTTGCTTCTCTGTACCCAGTTTGTTACGAAGTATTATTTCTGTGAATGTGTACCGGGTGAGTGTTTTCTGTAATTGAGCTATTACTTTGTATTTTTTTCCATTTTAGTGCTTGCACGTCAGCATCATTAGAACCATCTTATGTCCTTCGAGCCATTGGAGCAGATGAGGATTTGGCTCACTCCTCTATCAGGTGTGTCCTGTAAAAAGTTATACATGAGACAAAGTGGAAATTGCTGTAACTAACGGCAAAATGTGAGACATACTGGAGCTTACCTCGCTACAAGCTTTGAGTTGTGACCTAGAATTTGTATCTTCTTAAGCAATGCACAAAGAAATGCCTATAACCACTACTTGCATGTGCACAACAAGGTCAGCGAAACATTCCATTGTGTTGCTGGATGTTCCATAGCCCCCCCCCCCCCGTTTTGTAGACTTGTGCGCACGCAAGCAAGTGTTGCACCAGTTGGTAGTGTACATAGCGGTGTAAAAACTTATAAGGAAATGTTATTCTGATATTTCTTTCAGAGGAAGTTTGGAACTCTGTAGAGAGTGTTGCAACTGAGGACAGGCTGTTTTATACAGTTCACTACACTGTGGTCCTACTTGTAAGCTTGTGTGGCCTGCCATTTTGTGTTTGAATCATTGTTACTCTTATATGTTACTACTTCACAAAAACAGCACTTGGTTGACTGTGCCAGATTTAACAAGACAAAAATCTTGAGCTTGTTGAAAGACAAAGTCAGAAGCGTGGCCAAGGCCAATACTTAGAAAGGCAGGCTATGGAAATTAGAAACTAATTCTACAACAAGGGCAGAGAGGGCCCAGCAGTGCTTTGAGGGCCTAAGAAGTTTTAATAAAGTAGACTCTCATAGCTACATTTTCCCCTGAAACACTTCCTCCATTTTAAGCATGTCACCATTCACAAAACCTGACCATACAGGTGTCAGTGCTGTGTGTTTCATTATTTATGCTCATCTTTGCTTCCTGAACATGGCCAGGTGTCCTATAATATATGATATTGTAGGTTAGGGTTACCAAGAACTGGCAAATTGTTATGGCAAATGTACTCCACTGTTGGCCACCTCTTCTCTGAGGACGTTGCCTACTGCATTTAGGGATGCCACAAGAAACAGGTTGGTTAAATGTTTAATGTTTGCACACAGGAGTAGTGTAGGAGTGTTATACTTCATAATTGTTCACATGTTCATGAGGCTTCTGTTTTTCTCTTATGTTTTAGATTTGGCATAGGACGCTTCACCACAGAAGAAGAGATCGATTATACTGTCAGCAAATGTATCCGTGAGGTGAAAAGACTCCGTGAAATGAGGTACTGAAGCTTTTTTATTTGTGTTGGTGTGACCGTATGTCTGTACCTGCCATAACTATTACTATTTATGACATTAACATCATTCCTGTGGGTAGGATGTTCCATGCAATCCTACACAGAATGGGCTTAAATGCCTGTATGGCATTATGGAACACTCTGGGGCTCCCTGAAGGCAGAGCTGCTTAGAGTTCTTAATTCATAAAACCGCAGCTGAGCGATTGGGTTCAGCCATGGTGATTTTTCTGGGTCTCAGGCTGCTTCAATGAGACAACCCAGGATTTCCATAGACCCCCCCCCGCCCCCCCCCCAATGTAGGCAGTAGGACATGATACTTCAGAGAGTGTCTAAATTATTTACATTTAGCAATGGTCAAACCTCTAAGGTTGGACAGACGTGCTTATGTGAGACAGAAAGTGAGAAGAAGCACACAAAGTGTATGAATAATGAAGATCAAGTTGACAAGTGAAATCATGGATCAGTTTTGTAAAACTATTGACAGGCAATCAGAGTGCAGCACTAACTGTAGCCTGTGTGATTTAGTGTTTCTTAGTAAGCGATTTGTGCCAAGCAGGGGGATCTAGGTGGATTAAGATAGTATGGGATGTATTCTAATAAGACCCAGTCACGGGTCACTAGTGTCCTAAAGTTGGCTTGCGATAACCAATGAAAATGTTTTGTTTTAGCATTTAATGATCAGTTGTCTTAAATTATTTTGTGTTTACTTCACAGCCCACTGTGGGAGATGGTACAAGATGGCATCGACATAAAGAGCATACAGTGGACTCAGCATTGAACAAAGCACTATTCTGGACTTGGCCACTGTAGATAAGTTCTACAGCTTAGTCCTTTGAGATCTGTTACACAAAACATAATATTAGTAGAACTGTCGCCCTTGTTTTAGCAGAGGGGTTTGTCTGATGCGTGTGACCCTAGCTTCCTCCTTTTTATTCAGTGCAGGGTTAAAGATTCGGCATTTGCAGGAAAGTAGCACAGTTGCTCTATCACTGTCTACTGCAGAACTCGTAATATGATATATTGTATGTATCCTATGTTATATGGGAGTATTTAAATCCGATATATGTGGACTGTGGCTCTCCTACTGACTTGCGCATCGTGGGAATTTTAGTTTAACATTTAGAGAAGAAAAGCAATTTACAATGGCTGTGGCTGTATTTGATGGTAATAACTTGCCATTTGCCTTTGTATTAGAAAACAAAAATGTATTTTTTTGCAAAAACAAAAAAATATAAAATGGATTCCTATTCTCCTGGATTCCAATGTCTGATTGGGCTCTGGGTTTTCACTTTTCTTTTTATATCTGACAATAGCCCCCTTAACTGTATTCAGTCTTGTTCACGATATCATGAATAGGACAGAGGTACTTTAAATGTTTACTGGCAAATCACATTAATTATATATTTATACTATTGGGAAAGATGCCTTTTTCCTACTTGCAAATGCATTATCAAAAATATTGTTAAAAATCCACTTTGCGGTGGTGGTGGTATTTGCTGTTATTGTCTTCTTTAGCTTACTTCGACAAAAAAGAAATGATTTAAAAATTTGATGGATTTGTTAGTTGCATCTCCCAGCAAGCAAAGTATATACTGCCATTGATTGATTTGATGAGCAACTGGCAGGGCGACTGGCATTTGGTCTATTTAGTGTTAATAAGACCAGTACCCCAGATAAATAGAAAAGAAAACAGAAAAATTGCTTTTTTTTTCTTTCTTCAAAGTAATGTCATATGAGTTCTTTTAAATAGTTCTCCATATAATTCTTAAAGGGACACTATAGTAACCTGAACAACATTAGCTTAATGAAGCAGTTTTGGTGTATAGAACATGCCCCTGCAGCCTCACTGCTCAATCCTCTGCCATTTAGGAGTGAAATCCCTTTGTTTATGAACCCTAGTCACACCTCCCTGCATGTGACTTGCACAGCCTTCCATAAACACTTCCTGTAAAGAGAGCGCTATTTAGGCTTTCTTTATTGCAAGTTCTGTTTAATTAAGATTTTCTTATCCCCTGCTATGTTATTAGCTTGCTAGACCCTGCAAGAGCCTAGAGATTGAGATACAATTATTTAAGGTAAATTACATCTGTTTGAAAGTGAAACCAGTTTTTTGTTTTTTTTCATGCAGGCTCTGTCAATCATAGCCAGGGGAGATGTGGCAAGGGCTGCATAAACAGAAACAAAGTGCTTTAACTCCTAAATGACAGTGAATTGAGCAGTGAAACTGCAGGGGAATGATCTATACACTAAAACTGCTTTATTTAGCTAAAGTAATTTAGGTGACTATAGTGTTCCTTTAAATAGATGTATCCAAGTAATGTCATACTATTCTGCCCACGGCTCCTGATTAGTACTTTGCACATTTGTGCCAGGTACCTCTTTGACCAATCTTGTTAGTGAGGCAATCCCATGATGTTCTTTAATTGTGCCAACTAAAGGGGTGTTTTAAGAAAGAATTCTCAAGCATGGTAAAACCTTATTGATTACATAGAATTTCACAAGGTTTGGCAGGGTAGCGATAGAAGAGATGCCACATTGTCTTACAAAATAAAGGATGTTTGCTGCAGTGATGTCAAAAACGTTTGAGATGGTTCCTTGAAATGTTTCTGTTTTGAAATAGCTGTTCAGATTTAAGCATGTTATTTTGAATGCCTTCAGTGGTTCGATATCTGGAAATGTCATGTCATTAAATCGATTTTGCTGCCGAGAGGTTCTGTGCCTGCAACCAAAAAACACTTGAACATTGCAGTCTCTAAACGCACATTACATATTGCATTCTCTAAACGCACAAGGACACACATTTTGTGTGCTCCACACTTTTTGTGCAATATGTAAGTAAGATAAAGCCGTGGTTCCTAAACTTGGGAACTTGGGTTGGGAACCACTGCTTGTTCTGTAATTCAAAGCTTAAATTACTATTAACCAATTACAAGTTGCATATACAGAACTTGGTTTCACTTTGCAGGTGCCTCTGTCTTTTCAGCTCCAGTACAATTTAAACAAAACAATAATACTCACTGCTGGCTGTTCTTTAACGTTTTGCCTTATTTTTGCTCAGGATTGTAAAAATTTAAATGTGAATATTGCTCCTGACTATGTAAATCAATAAAAATATTTGACTGTATTTTTGGGTGTGGGACTGATTTTAATTCTGAAGGGTTTTTATAATTTTTTTGTATCTATATATCATATATTTATATATGTTCTGTATTCATATGTAACATGGCTTTCTTTTGTTGGCTGTGGTCTATTGTAGCATAAAGAGATGGGTTGGCTCCACACCACACATCAGATAGGACAGGAAAACAAACACATTTCTAGGAAAGCTCTCAGCCTTTGCGACAAAGCTCCCTAAAGTGATTATGATCAAAGGGAGAGAACTATATATTGGTATGGCTAATAGCCAGGAAATGTCATCATTCCTTACTACTATGGCAGCATAAACAAATGGGTTAGAACTTAATCTCCTATTGACATTAAATTAAAAAGTTCATAAATTAGCTAAAAATACCACAACTGAGCTAATTTTTTTTAATTTTTTTTTATTAAGGTTATTTTTCTTCGGTAAAAAACAACGGTTGGAGTGCTGGTGTAAATGCCAAAGCTGACATCGCATACTCACTATATTTACCCAAATTGGGATGTGTTGGCAGATATTGTGTATTATAAGTGCTGCGAAAGAATAAGTTGGCACTATATAAATGGCAATAATTATGAAGATAAGAATAATAACAAATGCAGTGTGAGAGGAAAGTGGGTTGGAGAACTGACCCTGCAATAGAAAAATAGTCCACCTTTGCGACCTCTAAAACCAGGTAACTGCTAAAGGATTCCTTAAGGAAAATACAAAAATGCCATGGTATAAAAATGCTCTTCAAACTTGAATGGCAAAATATTGAAAAACATGATATAGATACGGTGTCCAAAATCTCATCAGTTATCCAGCCCTTTGAATCCTGTGCGAACAAGCAGAGGTGACTTGCATGCCCTCCAATTTTGGCATGTCAATTAAGTGTGTCTCCATCGCTCTTGCACAATGAATATTCCATGTGTTTGTATACATAGTGCAGGAGAATTTAGTGAAATGTTTGCAATGCATTTTCTGTTGACCTGTCTGAAATCTCCATAATAGGACAATAGAAGGTGAGAGCATAAAAGTTATCCTCTTTTTGGTTACCTTGGGACAGGGAGAAGGGACTATTAATACCTGGTGGTCCAGTGTGCGGGCCTTTGGTCTGCATCTCCTGTGGAAGCAGACTACTCTGATTGCTCTTTCTGGCTAGTACTGCAAACATTATTGCCAAGGTAACCTGCAGCAATGCATGGAAGCAATACAAATGGGCTGCACATGAAGAAGGGTGGTGGGTTGGCCAGTGAAAAAGATCATTGATTTTCCAACTAATTGGAGAGCTCTTTAAGCCTGTGGTGGTCAGCTTTGCGTGATCAAAGATCCTCTGGTCTACCTTTTGTTGGCCTCCACCAATGCCCATCACAGCCCACTAAGCATTTTCCCAGTTTATACAATGGTCAGGCTGGGCCTGGCTATAACCTATAGATGGAAGTGAGAGAAGGCAACCAATATTGGCTTCTGCACATAGACATGGATATATTACCACTGCAGTAGACAAACAAACCAGAGACAGTTTTTTAACATTACAATGATAAAGTATTTGTACCGTGTTTCTCCGAAAATAAGACCGGGTCTTATATTAATTTTAGTCACAAAAAACACACTAGGGCTTATTTTCAGGGTAGGGCTTATTTATTTACGTTACCAGTATGTACAGCTCTTTCTCTTTGCACTCATCTTGTCTGGGGATCAAAATACCATACTGTCTAATTAATCCACCCCCCCTTTAATAAATCCACCCCCTCTAATTAATCCACCCCCTTTAATTAATCCACCCCCCTCTAATTAATCCAGCCCACCCTTTAATTAATTCACCACCCCTTTAATTAATTCACCCCCCTCTAATTAATCCAGTCCACCCTTTAATTAATTCACCACCCCTTTAATTAATTCACCCCCTCTAATTAATCCAGCCCACCCTTTAATTAATTCACCACCCCTTTAATTAATTCACCCACTCTAATTAATCCAGCCCACCCTTTAATTAATTCACCACCCCTTTAATTAATTCACCCCCTTTAATTAATTCACCCCCCTCTAATTAATCCAGCCCACCCTTTAATTAATTCACCACCCCTTTAATTCACCCCCTTCTAATTAATCCAGCCCACCCTTTAATTAATTCACCCCCTTTAATTAATTCACCCCCTCTAATTAATCTAGCCCACCCTTTAATTAATTCACCACCCCTTTAATTAATTCACCCCCTCTAATTAATCCAGCCCACCCTTTAATTAATTCACCCCCCCACCCCCTTTAATTAATTCAATTAATCCCAGACATAAAATATCTAGCGGTACTCACATTTCAAAGATTCCTTGCCGAGTCCGACCACTGGGAGCCTCACCACCCGGAAATGGATCCTTCCGCTGAAGATCCGTGAAGGCAGACTGACGGCGCTGCGAAATGTCGTCATCACGTTGCGCGATGCCGCGGCCCGCAACGCTCCTCCTACAGTAGAAGAAGGAAGTCTCGCCGCAAAGGTGCAATGCCTAGGTCTTATTTTCGGGGTAGGGCTTATATTGCAGCCCACCCCGAAAATCCGACTAGGGCTTATTTTCGGGGTAGGGTTTATTTTCGGGGAAACACGGTAATAACAATACAGAGGGGCATTTAAATAAGACTAAGGCTTAAAGTAAACTGGCACATCTCACAAGACTATCTTTTCCTCAGTCGTAGCTACTCTTGAGAATCCAATGAAATTGGAGTTTCCATCAGGTACTTCTAGAAAAACATTTTTAGTGCAGGAAATGATATGGTGGCAGGAACAGAACTGTTAGACCCCCTAGTAATTATGAATTTAGTAAACGTTATTGGTGTATCTCTGCAGGGGTTCCAACATTTTTAGTGTTGCTGCCCTTTAAGGAGGATGGATGCTTCTGCCGGGGTAGCCTGATTCAGGTGCACAAGTTATTTGCATGCCTAATATTTCCACACTGGTTAGTTTGCAGCTTCCCAACTTATAAATCCTTACTAATCTGCTCAGGTCACGATACCTGCATAGAAAGCTTTGACAACTAATCATCTTAATGCAAAATTCAAAAGGCACACTTTTTTTCTCTGAAGCCTTCCCTGTCACTTCCTAACCCAAGCAATAATTTGTCCGATACACAGCTCAGGTATGTAATTGGCTCAACCTCCCATTATTTCCTGATCCCCAACAGTGTGACGACCACCCAGGTGTCTTCCTACCCCCGTATGCAACTATTACATACAATTTAATTGCTCCTCTAGATTGCAAACTTGTTCAAGCAGGGTCCTCATCAACCTATTGTTCTTTAAAAATGAGTTAGTCTTATTTGTTAAATCCCCCCCTTTACATTATTGTAAAGAGCAGCCAGCAACAACAATAATACAATAAACACTCTTCTATTTGACACCACATTCCCTACTCTGCAGGTCCACTTGACCAAGGGTTTCTTCTCAGTGCTGTCTTAACAGAATTATAGGCCCCCAGGCAAAGTGCACTGGGGCCCAGCCTAAACAACCACTCACAGGAATAACAATGTGAATTGCTGATAAATTTAAGCTTATACTTATTGGTTCCTCCAACAAATGCAATAAATACATACACACAGACTGCTAAATACACACAAACTGCTACACACAAACACACACTGCTGAATACACACACACACTGCTGAATATACACAGACTGCAGTGAGGGGTGCAGTGTGTGTGAGTGGTACATAGGGTCTATGTGTGGGGCAGGTGGGGGTGAGATTGAAATTGTATATATTTTTTATTTAAATAAAATATATATATATATATATATATAGCTTTATGTCGCCCCCCACCCTTACCCTTCTTACCTTTTGCAGGGGGGTTTGGGGAACATTGCACTGCCTGGTGGTCCAGTGGTGGCATGTGAACTCCTCCAGCTGCTGCCTGACTTCTTGCTTCTCTCTTCTCCTCTCGCGAGCTGAGGGCTGTGTCAGAGTGGTGCCATATTAAATGTTGCCTCCTCCTGCTGCAGTGATGAATTCTTTCATCGAAGCAACAGAGGGAGGGGAGAAGGACCTGGGAGAATCTTTGATCACCCCACAGGCCCAAGAAGGCAGGTTGCAAGGCCAGTTCTGCATGTGCCAGGAAGGGATATGAAAGTATTCATGGGCATCGCGGTGTGACCCCCGGGCAACTGACCAGCATGCCCATGCATAAAGACGGCTGTCTCTTTTGACTTATTATTCTGACTCTGTCTCAATTCTGTACTTTGCATACTATATACTCATTAGCTTCTATTTACTCCACATTCAATGCATAATGATTGCTTCTAGTTTCTATCTTCATCATACTCACAATATACTGATTTTTAAAGGGACACTCCAGACCCTTAAAGCACTTCAACTTGCCGAAGTGCTTTATGGGTGAAGATTGTATCCTCTTTTTTTTTTTCCATTTTATAAAAAGTGCTGATGTCAACAGAAATCGGCACATTTATAAATTAACTTTGTCAATCAAACAACTGGATTTGTTACTTCCTGGTTGTTTACCAGAAGACAAAGTGGAACATGGGGTTCTAAATGGCATTGTGAATGCCAACGGGCTTGCTTATACTTGTCAGCTTTGAGCAGATCAACACTTGTTACTTATGTTCACCAGGCCTCTTCCAGCTTCAGTACTTATATGTATTCTATATGTCTGCCTTCTTGGTATTCAGGCACTCAACGGGCCTACATTGTTTAGTAATGATATGGCTAGTTTTGCAACAGACGGTCTAAATTTATGTCAGGTTCAAACTTAGGGCCTATACATGTGGTTAGCATTTATGGTACTGCTCATCCATCCACTCATCCTTCCATCAGTGGTACCATGTTACTCAAATTTTATATCATTAAAATCATCTCTAAATAACGGTTCCGCCATTACGGGCCTCTCATGGATCAAGTTGGTTATATCTATGTTATGATATGGAGCAAGTCCGCCATTTTGCTTCACTATGTGTAAATTTTAACTGCTTTACAACTCATCAACCATTATCAGCCCACGTCCAT